CCACTTCATTCTCATGAAAGTTACTGATACAACTTCCCCAAACTACCAGCAGCAGATCCATTTTAAAGCTGTTTCCATCTTAAAATGAAGGAGAAATACTCATGGGTTCAAGGCCCTGGTGAATCCTGCTGATCATGGACCAGGGTTGTGAATAGCTTGGATAGCATGCAGAATGTATTGTACAGTAGATTGTTGCAGATGCAATTGGGTTGAAATTTAATACCCTATCGTTTGATCACCCTGATGATCCATTTGAATTTGTTCTAGTATTTCATATTTTCTACTTTCTTTTTGAGTGAAGTTTCTATCTATTTTACTTTGTTATTCTTGCTAGGTTTTTAAAAAATGTTTTTCTGTATATGAATTCCAGGATATCCCTATTGGTCAAGCTATAGGGAAAGTAACTGGGTTAATGATTCCTTGTATGGCCGGGCAGGTTGTGGGGGGATGGGGAGTACAAGAATGAGGAAAGTGTCTAAAATGGATTATGGTGATTATTGTACAGATCGTCTGATGGGATTAAACTATTGAATTACATGATATGTGAATTATATGCCAATAAAGCTGTTGGGGGGGGCAAATAAATGCGAACAGTGGCAACAAGAGCAGCAGTGCATGCTTGTAGCATGGGCAGACAAAGCCATGTAATATGCAGCATCGTGGAAATGCGGTGGAATGACAGTTTGGACTGGAAGAGCGCATTAGAAGGTTCAAAAAGTGAAGTCGCATCGAGTTTTACCCTTGAAGGTACATCGACGCATGCAAGCTGGTCTTCTGAGAAATATGTGGCTATCACCAACAACAGGGATTTTAAAATAATAAACTTCTGCAGGAACATGTTATTAGACAGACATTTTGGAGTTACCTCCCGACAGTATCACCTCGTGACACCCAGACAGACACCGTTGAAGACAGTTGCTGGTTTCATTCTTGCTGTAGGCGAACATCGGAGACAGCCACTACACCGTGTAATAAGTTTGAGAACAGCGTTGTTCAAAAGACGTTTATCAGCCTAACTGATTCACTTTGTGGCAATTGCTTGAACATTATTTAATCATTCAACTAGTACTACCACAGCCAATCCCTGTTCTTTTTAAACTTACCTCTTTGTCCAAAGCGAGCCCTTTTCTGTCATTTTAGTTATCTTTTCTAGCATTCACTTACTTGTTTCCAAGTAACCCAGTGCTTTGAGTGGTGTTGACTGATTTACATGCTGGGCTCTTTTTTGCCCAGAAACTGAGGATTTAACTCTCAGGCACAACCCTTGACCCTCGGTCCACAGCTACCTTCCCTGTCTCTACGTTTCTTGATGCGGCACATGTTAGTCTGTGGTGTAAGATGTGTCAAATACTTACTGTGCTGTGTTTCGTTTGTGGCTGAGCCCTGTGCTACTGAACGTCGAGGTGCCCACACCATTCTGGGCCCTCTTGTGTGTGAATGGTTTTTTATCCCTGGATAATGTATCTTTTCGTTTCTAATAGCATGCATTCTCAAATTTAATTTTGTCTGTCATATGAATATTCCTTTTTCAAAGACCGCCTCCTGCACTCATTGCGTGGCTGTGGTCTTTTCTCCTGCCCTCTGAGAGCGGTCGTTGCGCTACTATGCGCTTTCCTTTGGCGTTCTGCACGTTTCCCGCGGTGTGCCTCCTTTCTTCAGCCACTTGTTTTGGGCCCTGCCTCTGAAGTAGAAGCTTTGGGGTTCAACTGCTTATCTTCATCTTTAAGAATGAGGCCATTAGAAGGTTGGTTGCCTGGTAGCGTCTCTTACGGGGTCTTGGGGCAGGGACCTGCCATTTTTGCTGACCAACTCCGGAAGTCAGGATTTACGGATTTTGATTCTCCAGGTGAACCCTCCGTGGGGGCGTTGTACCCTCCCCGTGACAAGCCTGGGCGGATGTGGGGAGTGCGATGAAGGGGAGGAGAGGGCAGTCGGCGAGCCCACCACCCAAGCCTGTAAGTGCTGTGACTGCAGTGTCTCCATGTCTTTCGGCCTGCCCGCCCCCCTGGCCGGCCTGAATCCGAAGTCTCCTCGTGTCACTTTCTCACACGGGTGGAACTCCTCCGCTGCCCAGGGAGGGATGGTGGCTCTGGCTGCACCAGAGAGGATCGGAGGCCAGGTTCCCTCTGCTTAAGATGCAGACCTGCAACCAGTTGTCCTCCCCTCAGCCGTGCTCCTGAACTTGCTCCTTTAGAGGAAGTGGGCGATGCACTTCCGAAGCCTTTCTGGACGAGCCACCTGGCTTGTTTGCGTCACCGACCACCCTCGAGGTTCCCAGGCTGCTCCGCCCGGCAGCCATCCGTCTGCTTTGCGGCCTGGGTGTGGTCTCAGCGCCTGTTAACCTGCCCCAGTTTTCTTTTTCTCCAGTGGATTTGTATCTCTCTCCTCCTTGACTCTCAGGTTAGTGTAGGAATTTAGAGGGAAGCAGAGAGCAACACATCGATAACCCCCAAATGCACGTTGCTCTTAAAATTATCTTTAAAAAACGTTTTAGAAAATGACACCTCATGTTTATTATATGTAGGGCCTACAACAAATGTCAAGAACTCTAGCAGTGTTGTGGAATAGGCATTGAGCTGCAAAATGCAAGGTCGGCGATTCAAAACCACTGGCTGCTCCGCAGGAGAAAGAGGAGGCGGGCTGCGCCTGTGCAGATTTAGTCTTTGAGGGAAATCCCTGTTGGGGCGACGCTGAGTCGGAATGAACTTGATGGACAAGGGCGGCAGTTCCAAATAGAGGTATTAGATTCAGGTCCCTGTCTCCCTGGTATCAACCAAGTTCTATATAAAGTGACCTATAAATAAATATCCAAAGCCGAAATCAATTCTGGTTACTTTCCCAAACATTGTTTCATGAGTCAGCGGAAGCTGAGATTGTGTCTGTAGCATCTGATTGGGTGAGAGCTTGGATATGAGGACACACTAACTCCTGAGGTGTCATTTTTAGGGGAAGGAAAAAGCCGGTGGCTTTATTGTTGGGCGGCCAGCAGGCCGTCCTTGCGTACTGGTATCATCAGGAGGTAAATATGCTTTACTTGAACACCTTTTAGTCAGTGTAATGGCAAACAGGATCTTGTTCTTTTGGCATATCCTGCAATGGTTTTCTGTGTCTGTATTTGGCTATTGACAGATGTAGCTCTGTTTCCTACAGATCAACAATGGTGAAATGGGGAAATTACTTGGGTCCTTTGAGACTGCCAAAGTGGTATCTCCTTTTGCTCAAGATTTGTGTCTTCAAGTGGGTGAAGGGAGATGTCAGACAGGGCAAGATATGACAAAATAATAATTTATAAATTATCAAGGGCTCATGAGGGTAGGGGGAGCGGGGAGGGAGGGGACAAATGAGGACCTAATGCTGGGGGCTTAAGTGGAGAGGAAATGTTTTGAGAATGATGAGGGCAATGAATGTACAAATGCGCTTTACACAATTGATGTATGTATGGATTGTGATAAGAGTTGTATGAGCCCCTAATAAAATGATGAGAAAAAAAAAAAGAATTGTGTCTTCATTCACTAAAGTACATTAATTGCCTCAAAATTTCGGCTACCCTCGTTCATACCTGGAAGCCAAAGCCAATGGGATTTTTATCCTGGGCAAGGAATTGAAGATCCCCTTGAAATGTGAAGAGGGAGGAGTGAAGTAGCCGTAGTATTCTCTTCTCCCTTTTCCTGCCTCTAACAATTATATTCCTTGAACTGTACAACCATTGTAGCACCTCCACCCCACTTCCAAATAGCCCCGAAGCTTCCCATAGCTAAAGTTTCACGTTGCAGTTGTCAGCTTGCTCCCACGTAGATAGTTCTGTATTAGAGAGCAAGGAACCCAGGTAGGGAAGTGCTTATACGTTGAGCTGATTAGCAAGGCCAGCAGTTCAAAACCATCAGTCGCTCCCTAGGAGGACACTGGACTTTCTATTCCTACGAGAGTCAAAGTCTCGGGAACTCACGGGGGTAGTTCTACCCTGTCCCATAGGGTTGCTATGAGTTGGCATTGACTTGAAGACAGTGTGGTGGGTTTTTTTCCTTTTTTTGCATAAGAACACTGTTGAAAGCCAACATTGTTTACTAATTGTAGAGCAATAGAAACTTAATAGCTTAAACATTATCCAAATAAAAATGCTACTTTTCTAATGTATTACAATTTTTCTAATGTATTACATTCTACATTCTTTCCCATGCTAAGTGAAAATTGTGAATGAGATGCTAAGTGAACACTTCATCTTGTTCTTTTATTCCCTCTGGCTTCCTATTATGTACAAACCCATTCATAAACTTGACTCTGTAAAATTAGCATGACGGCACTATTTTGGCCTCAGAGAGATGACCTTTTCCCCCCACTAAGGTTGACTTTATATGGAGGGTAATTTAGCACTCACCCTTTGTTTTCATTTTGAAATTGCTATACTTAATTTGTGAGTGTCAGTTATTTGTTGACAATTAAGGATAAAACAACAACAAAATCCCTCATTGCTATCAAGTCAATTCTGACTCTGACTCTACAGGACAGGGTAGAACTGCCCCTGGGGTTTCCAAGATGTTTAACCCTATTAGAGTAGAAAGCCTCATCTTTCTCCCTCAGAGCAGATGGTGGTTTCAAGCTGCTTACCTCCTGGTTAGAAGCCCAATGCATAGTAGATAATATCGCCAAAGTGACATATCTATCCGTGACATAAGGCTATAAACTTTTAGTTTTCGGTGAATGCTGACTCATCATGACCCTATAAGATGGGGTAAAACTATCTGTGTGAGTTTCTGAGACTGTAACTCTTTATAGGAGCAGAAAGCCTCACCTTGCTTCCATGGAGCTAGCTGGTGAGTTTGAACTGCTGACCTCCTGGTTAGAAACCCAGTGTGTAACCACTATGTTAAATCTTCTTTATTGCTCTTTATTCAAGGTAAACTAGATTAAAGTAAGAGCTTTCTTCTTCTTTTTTAACTGTAGGCTTTTAAGATTCCATTTCGAAGGGATTAAGCTTAAGTCGTTTGTCTATTCTAGATGCAGCCCTGAGTTCGTCAAGATGCACAGAAGTGTCTGGTTGAGAAGCCTGTGAAGTAGAAGACAAGACCCTGCCGCAAGCAGCGTACATGAGAATAATTTTAAAGGCACCTATCAGTACATGCAAACCTGTAGCTACTGGAGGTATGTAAGAACTGAGAGCTTTGGGTGAACTTGGCCTGTTCACCACTTGGCTATATTTAGTCAAGTGGAGTCATTCTCTGGGAATGTTCTTAGGGCAAAACCTCACCCTCTTTTCGATACAGTAATGGCTATTGTTCTCTGAAGTTGACAACGTGGTGGATGTCACTCGTCACCCCTTCTTGAACACCTCTGACTCACTCCCTGGAGAGCCGTTCTTATCGCTTGGCGGATAATAAAGACCATAGAGGCAGCCTGAGATCCTGGCCCGATGAAAGTAATAGCAGATTTCTAGCCAGAGATCTCCTGGTCCTCCATTCTGGGAGTGGACTGGGCAGTGGGAAAGCTCAACAAATGGCCCCCCCTGAGCAAGCTGTCACTTGTTGGCTCTACTGTTCCCTCGTTGACAACAAGGCCAAGCTTATCCCGCCGTCTCAGCGGTGGGTGTGCCAGATTGACAGTTCCCTGGTTATTCGGTTACCTTGACCTGCTTGTCTCCTTGATCACCCATCCCACCTTACAGCGCCTCATGGTTACGTCATTCTCTAGCTTATGGCCTTTCATTTGTCTCTTCTCAGCTGAGTTCACCATCCAGGTCAAGGGCACCTGTTATTTCGTACCCTCTGACTTTCGGAGCCCTGGGTCCTTTCTCTTTTGGCATAAACTACGTACTGGTACATGTCGCCTTGATCCTTTGAGGATCTTCACTTTTTCAGCCACCAACAGAGGACATTTACAGATACCTCCTGCACCAGGCATGTTACATGCTTTTATCCTGGCACAACCTTGGGAGCCCTATATAAGGGCCCCACAGTCTAGATGTGGAAACAGGTTTGAAGTGGTTGAAGAACTAGCTCACTCTTTCATGGAAAGTGGCAGAAGTGGGATTCCACACTTGGTCTGTTTGTCTGCCTGTCTCCAACCATATGCTCCTCCCTAGTATCCAATGCAGTCATCTCTGTTTGAAGCAGAGTTTGAGAAACATCTCAATTTTTATGGAATTTAACATTCTGCTCTAGTTTTTTTAATACCTTGCTAATAACTATTCTATGGCATTTTCCTGGTGTGGTGTTACATAATCTGATGTCAATTTGAGAGGATTATGAGTGAAGGGGTGGAGTCTGGCCTGTCAATCAAGATACAACCAATGGGGCCTCTGTGTGGGAAGGGCCTTCTCTTTAGAGTTCTGGGAACTTCTGTATTTCCTCCTTGGAGGCAGGAGACACCTCTCTCTCGCTCTGCTCACTCCCTGAGACGATGCTCTACTGACAAGACACATAGCGCTATGCCCTGGGAGCTGAAGAAGCCATATGGACCTACCCTGATGCAACCAGACCTCTGGAGCCCTGCCAGCGCTGAGGTGCTTACACCGCCACTGGATCCATAAGACTTCCAGCCCACTGGCCTGTGATCATCCTGCATTTTGCATCATGGCATGTGTTTCTTGAGTTTGAAGAGGACTTTATAGATTGGTATTGGACATATAGACTAATATCAGACTTATGGACTTGATCTGGACTGGACTGGGGTGTTTTCTCAATATTTACTTGCTCTTGTATATAAACCTCTTTCTTATTCTCATATGAGTTGCTATGAATTTGTTTCTATAGTCTACCCAGACTAACACACCTGGGTTTACAAGTATATTTATGACACTGAATTACAAAAACACCCACTACCATCAAGTTGCTTATTACTCATAGTGATCCTATGCAGTATTTCTGAGGCTGTTAATCTCTATAAGAGCAAATGACTTCATCTCTCTCCCATGTAGCTGCTGGTGGTTTTGAACCCTTGCAAGGTTAGCAGTCCAATGCTTGCTAATCTGACATCGCCAACCAGGATACTTACATTGAAATAACATATTAAAATTAAACATTTTCAATATTTATTGGTTTCACATGTGTCCCTGAATTGAGACAAATAGTTAAGTTCTTAGCTACTAAGTAGAAGGTTTCCTATTTGAATTAACCCAGAATTGTTTCACAAGAACAGCCTGGTAATATGCTTCTAAAAGTCCCACTTCCCCAATTAAGTGCCCAGAGACACCCTACTCTGCAAACCATCCTCCTGCACAAAACACTCAGCTTGCTCCATGGGCTGGGAAGTCCTTCACACTGTTCCATGCTCTGGCTACTGATTCCACTCCTGCTCCTTGATGGTATAGCTGTCTCCTGGATCCAAGAGGTTCATGGTATTAAAATCTCAGATCTAGTAGATGCACTCCATTCCTGACACTTGCTGGTAATGAGATCCCTCCTCCTGCTTCTCAGAGGGCTCATTGCATACACAGCAGGATGGCACTCCAGGGCGAATCCTATCTGTATCTTCCCCTGCCTTCTTCCCAGACCCATGCCGGGAAAGATGGCTTGGTAGGAGTTGGAGACTTGGGCCAGAGAGCCAGATTATATAATTCACTGCCTCTGCAGGAGCTACAGGAGCCCTGGTGGTGTAGTGGTTACAAGTTGGGCTGCAATCTACTTGATCAGCGTTTGAAACTACCACCAACTCTGTAACTCAGTTACAGTCTTGGGCATCAATGTGAGTCAGCATTGACTTGTTGGCAGTGAGAGCAGGTCTGATGTCTTGCTATTAGTGATGATGCAGACAGGCCTCCCCTCCATTCCTTCAGTCTGAATTACTGCATTAGAGTACAATTGGCTAGAAAGTAATATATTTAGTGTGACATAAACTGATGAGTAATTTTTATTAGCATGTGTTATGGTGCTAAACAAATATTAAATTGAATAAATGTTGCTTTAAATTGTTAGACTATTCAAGTTATAATGCTCAGAATAAGGATAACATTAGTTGTGTGCTTTAAATATTTGCCATAAACAAAACCAGAAGCATAGCATGGTAGGCATATCAATTGGATTCATAGAAAAATTTGTCAACTGAATACGTACATAAGACTATTATAATTATAAATTTTAAAGTTGATATCTTTGGGATTAGGAGTTTATTGTTAATTTGAGTAACTATGTTTGGAAATTTTAATTGTGTAAAATGCATTGACATAATACTAGATCTTCACATTTAGTCACGAAAAACTGGCTATTTGTTTTTGAAAGATTGTAATATTCACTTTGAATTGACATTGGTGGATAATTCATAAGGAAGAAAGTCACTTACTTCCCACATTATGAATGTGTTCAGTTTTCTACTGTAACCCATAATCCAGCCTAAAGTACAGCTGTATGCTTTTGCCATACAATCCCACCCGAGATTGTACCTGTGCACCCCCCCAAAGGCCAATGCCACCCACTTTGGGAAACACTGGTGTAGATGAATCATTTTGTCACACAGGAAATAGTAGACATTACCTCTAAAGAAGAGATGACATCAAACAGATAATGTTGTGGTAGTGGTTGTTAGGTGCTATCTAGTCGCCTCCAGTCCATAGTGACCCATGCACAACAGAATGAAACACTGCCTGGTCCTGCACCATCCTTAAAATTGTTCCTGTGCCTGAGCCCATTGGTGCAGCCCCAATGTCACTCCTTATCCTGAGTGCCTTCCTCTCCTGCCCCTCTACTCTGCCAAGCTTGACATCCTTCTCCAAGCATTGGTCTCTCCTGACAACATGCCCAAAGTATGAAAGATGCAGTTGCACCATCCTTAACCACCCAGGAGCGCCCTGGACGCACTTCTTCTAATACAGATCGATGTGTCTGTTTAGCAGTTCACAGTACTCTCCATAGTCTTCTCCAGCACCACAATTCAAACACATTGTTTCTTTTTGGGTCTTCTTCATTCAGTGTCCAAATCTCACATGCCTATAAGGCCGCTGAAAATAGCATGGCTTGGGGCAGGCACACATTAGTCCTCACCTAGCATCAACAACATACTTTTTGCTCCTTCCAGACATTGGTTTAAATGTGACTGTCCTGGGCGCTCTACATGGTCACTTTCCCTGTTAACTCCCATCACCACCCAGCGCAGCATCTCTTTTTACCCACTCAAGCAGTAGGCAGGGAGCAACAACCCAGACACTGTCTGGATGGTAGTGAATACAGCACAGAACCACACAGCGCCATTTTCATGTAGCGTGTGGAAAGGGAAAGAGCATGCAGTGACCAGATAGATGATGGTGCCAGATAATGAGGAGGTGTACAAAGGAAAAGAAAGCAGGGACAAAGACATGAGTGGTGATAGGAACGCTTCTTCACAGCAAGGTAAAGTCAAGAAAGGCATCTGGGATGTGGCCATGTGTGAGAGGTGACTATGGAATCAAGCCATGTGAACATTGAACGGAAGAAGGTTCCAGGCAGAAGATAATACAGTTTTAAAGATGTGAAGGTACGACAGTGTTTGCTGTATTTGGGCAGTGGCAAGGGGGCCAGTGTGGCTGGAGCGGAGAAAGAATGTTGTAAGACATGAGCTCAAAGAAGTGACACATGGCCAGAGGATTTGTCTAAGGTTTGATGAGAACTTTGGTTTTTCCCCTGAGTGATGTCAGAAGGTGCCACAGGACTGATAGGTTGCTATGTTTGAAGAAAATCCCTTTTTGGTATTTTTGTGATGAAGATACAAAGGTAGACTCAAGAACATTTTTCATTGTCTTTTAATTGCATTTTCCCACAAATGTTTTGAAGCCCCTTGTAAAGGGGACTTAGGAAGATGCTTAGAGACTAGTCCAGCGGCTCCAATGAAAGCCAGGCCAAGCGATGTGGGTCTGGCCTGGGGTGGGAGCAGGGGAAGGACACAACACCGTGGGCTTCGGGATATAGTGCAGAGGAAGAGTTAATAGCATTAATAGCTCATAGATGTGGGTTGAGAAATCAATTGCTTTTGATCTGCATTGCAGGTTACTGAGATGGGGGGAAAGTGCAGTAAAAGAATGCTGGGATCGTTGGAGGTTGAGGAATTGACGGGTCTGGACATAACCTCTATTAGTTATAAAATAGATGTCGATACCTGGTCATATCTAGAGAGGTTGAGCTTATATGTTTTAGCTGAGAGTGGACACAAGAGATGGTATTTAGAGCTAGGAGTAGATG